TTGTAAATTTCCACCAGGTGCATGATGGGAAATAATCTCAAAAGTCTAGTTGCAGTCCTGTAAATAGTGACACTGCAAGATTCCTAGTCTTTACAAAATCATGATCTGTGACTAAAAACTGCGACACTGTCTTTAGATGTGAGAGGGTAGACCTTAGTCTTTTCAAAGTCCTTTAATGTATGGTTAGCATTATGTGATGTTGAAAACTGGTTGTGTTTAGGTCATGTGACGTCGCGACCAGTATCCAACCAAAAACACACGTCACATCAACGGTGTGTGTCCGCTGAATGTTCAAACCAGAGCCATGTAGCGTCATCTCCGTTCACTCCAAATAGACCACTGTAGTCGTGTCGTCATTTTGTAGGAGGCGCCATGTTCTTATGCCCAAATTAGGAACTCCGGGTCTAAGCTCCATTTCTGTATGGCCAGAATGAATATGGTTTTCGAAAAATCGCCTCTATCGCACCGTGTTAAATAAAAATCTTCAGAACCCGATACGTTTTGTCCTATGAACATTCTTCTCTCGAATACCACTGGATCCTTTGAATTACTATGTCGTTAAAGAGTTGAAATATGAATATTGCTACATGTGAGCTAAAGCTACATACTGAGGGCAGATGAAAAGAAGTCAGAACAAAATCAGCAGGTTTACCTGCAATTCTCTGTTCTTCATCTGATGCTCACTGAAACACTATAGATCTTTCCTTTTAGCTTGATTTGAAACGATGTACAAACGTACCTGAACTCAGGCTAATCCAGTACAGACTCAGCTTAATATCACTGCTCACCCCTGATAAACTGATTTAGGCTATCAGAATATCCTAATTATTATTTTAATGCTGGTAACATTTTTCTGAGGACATTTTCTCAGGACATTCGCCAGCTTTTTGTTCCGACTTTTCCCGTTCCACCTTAAATGGTGCAGCAGTCACTGAAAAATTCGAACAAGCAGCCAGCGAAAAAAGAAGCTGACTTGAGCTTCACTGAGGGTTGAAAGGCATGAAATGGGGAGGTTTCACTATTAACGCTTAACAGCTGAGTAACATTAACTTATTTTTGCTGTTTCACTAACAGGTCAGTATTTTGTCTTGTTTGCTAATGTTTGTGATAGCTACTAACAGCTTCTGCACCATTTAAGGTGGAACGGGAACATTCAAACAAGAAGCTGTGAAAAAAGAAACTAAATTCAGCCTCGTAGTTTTAACACGGGTAGTATTTTTGATAAGGAGTTTTAACCTATCAAAACATCCTACCTAGAGGTTTTATTTACAGGTATACCTGCAAATATGCACTACGATAGAACATTTCGATATGGTAGCACAACTCGTCAGAGCACCGGTGTTACGGTCAATTCAGTTCCCCCTGTTCCTCCTAGTGATGGGTCGGTCGCGAACGATCCGGCTCTAAGAACCGGCTCCTTGAAGTGAACAACGGGAGCCGGCTCCTGATTGTGAGCCGATTTTTTTTTCTGTTAAAGCGCGATGCAACGGTGGAACTGAGATCATATCTCGAGGAGCCCCTTTTCCATAGAAGTGCAGACCCACTGAGCTGGTGGGAGACCCACGTCTTACACGTGACGGCTTATAGACTGTGTATTGTAGCAACATCTGTCCCCTCAGAGAGAATCTTCTCCAAAACAGGGCAGATCATAACAGAAAGGAGAAACAGGATCAACCCCTCTGAGATGAGGTCCTTGGTTTTTCTGAATGCCAATCTTCGCTAAAGGATGCTGCTTTTTCTTTTTGTTTTGCACATTTTAATTTATATTTTTTTGCGTGATGTTTTGTTGTTTCACTGTACAAATTTACAAATAATATACACAATCAGAGATTGGACCTTTTTGTCTAATTTAGATGGGTCTTTTTGTATTCTATAATTTATTTTTGGAGCACTCTGTTCCATGTTGAGTATATAAATAAATCCATATAAATAATAAACATTTGATATAATGTATGTTTTTACATTAGTAATTCATTGTACACATAATTTGGTAATAACTTGGGAGCCGAAAGAGCTGGCTCTTTTTAGTGAGCCGAACCAAAAGAACCGAATTCCCATCACTAGTTCCTCCTCATTGCGCATGTCGAAATCATGACGTCATCAGTTGACGCTGCTCTGCGGGGCTTAATTCGTTTGTGTTTGTACATATTACCGTTATTTCGTCCTGTTCCTCGCGGTAAGTGAATTATCACGTTGTTTGTAAAATGACTTGCAGTTAAACACGTTTTAAAGTATAAAATGTGTTGTTAGCAGATGGTTGAACACTACGTGGGTTATCTTGCTGATGCTAGCTTTGGCTCCGTTTTCAGCCACTCCGAGTAACATGGATTTAATGCGCCATTTCTGATTTAATTACCGTACATGCAGACACATTCTGTTGTTCAGACGTCAGTGATTTTTAAGCTGTATTTATGTCCCATATCCTCATCAGTCTCGCTAAGTTGTGTAAATAGATTTGAAACATTTGTTGCTGAAATAAATAAACTGCATTACACAGCACAGTAATTAGTCTGTGTTATTATTGTTAGACTACTTATCTCAGTGCACCTAGGAAGTTAGTTTCCCTATAGTCTTTGAAGCTGAAGCCTTACTGTTATGGCACTAATGTGACTTGTCCTTACAGTAACTTTTATTCATATTATACCACCTTTACACAGAGAATACAGGGGGGACATCTTTAACCAGAGCCTGGGAAAAATGGTTTCCCCTTGTATATTACAGCTGGAGTGGATTTGAAGTACAACAGTGATGCTGATAACCTGTTTCTGTGCATGATAATTTCACTCAGTAACTTTTATTCATATTATATCATCTTTAGAACTGAGAATACAGCGGGAACATCTTTAACCAGAGCCTGAGAAAAGTGGTTTCCCCTTGTATATTACAGCTGGAGTGGATTTAAAGTACAACAGTGATGCTGATAATCTATATCTGTGCATGATCAATTCACTCAGTAACTTTTAATCACACTGTACCTCCTTTACACTGGCAATACAGGGGGGACATCTTTAACCAGGGCCTGAGAAAAGTGGTTTCCCCTTCCCTTGAGCTGGAGTGGATTTAAAATACAGTAACAATCTGTGCAAGATCTTTTCACTCAGTAACTTCTAGTCATAATATACTACCTTTTTATACAATAACACAATTATTATAGTACTTTTATAACCTGTTGTAATATAAGGAAATGAAAATAGGATTATTATAGTACCTTTATGCCCCGTTGTAGTGTAGGGAAAGAAAACCATTTACCAGGAACGCTAAGCAAATTCAGTCCCACTTGTTTACTTCCATTAAACATGGTAACATGGTAACAGATAACATTGCTGTATCAAGAAACATTACAGTGTAGTACACCTGCATGTAGCAGTCATGCAATTCGAGAAAAATGGTAAAACATAGAATGTATCTTTTTTTTTCATTTAATTTACCACAGTTTAAAATGTTGGACACATTGCAGTTACTAGGAGAACTGAAAAAAGCAAAGAAAGCATTATAGTATATTAAACTGATCCTAATTGTCAGTTTTTACTGGAAATTACTGGAAATCTGTTCTACCATTTACTCTCTGTATAAAACAGTGTTAATAGAATGAAGCAGGTGGAGTAAAATAAAAAAAAGAGAAATTAATATGATAATAGTGTATTAAATCTTTAACAGCTGTAATCAACAAGTACACTGAGAATGCTGTCCCATCTGTATTCTCAGTGTGAAAGGGGTGTAGGTTAACTAAAACTGTAAAATGGTGATACAGATATAGATTTTTTAGCAACATTATTGTACTTTAAATCCACTCCAGCTGTATCTGTCCAAGGGAAAACCACTTTTCTCAGGCTGTGGTTAAAGACGTTCCCGCTGTATTCTCAGTTCTAAAGGTGGTATAACATGAATAAAAGTAATTGAGTGAAATGATCATGCACAGAAACAGATTATCAGCATCATTTTTGTACTTTAAATCCACTCCAGCTGTATCTGTTCAAGGGGAAACCACTTTTCTCAGGCTCTGGTTAAAGATGTTCCCCCTGTATTCTCAGTTCTAAAGTTGGTATAATATGAATAAAAGTTACTGAGTGAAATGATCATGCACAGATATAGATTATCAGCATCATAGTTGTACTTCAAAAGCACTCCAGCTGTAGTATACAAGGGGAAACCACTTTTCTCAGGCTCTGGTTAAAGATTTTCCCGCTGTATTCTCTGTTCTAAAGTTGGTATAATATGAATAAAAGTTACTGAGTGAAATTATCATGCACAGATACAGATTATCAGCATCATAGTTGTACTTCAGAAGCACTCCAGCTGTAATATACAAGGGGAAACCACTTTTCTCAGGCTCTGGTTAAAAATGTTCCCCCTGTATTTTCAGTTCTAAAGGTGGTGTAACATGTATAAAAGTTACTGAGTGAAATGATCATGCACAGAAAGATTGTCAGCATCATTGTTGTAATTTAAATCCACTCCAGCTGTAATATATAAGGGGAAACCACTTTTCTCAGGCTTTGGTTAAAGATGTTCCCCCTGTATTCTCTGTGTAAAGTTGGTATAATATGAATAAAAGTTACTGTGAAGACAAGTCACATTAGTACCATAACAGTAAGACTTCAGCTTCAAAGACTATAGGGAAACTAACTTCCTAGGTGCACTGAGATAACTTAAGTAGTCTAACAATAATAACACAGACTAATTACTGTGCTGTGTAATGCAGTTTATTTATTTCAGCAACAAATGTTTCAAATCTATTTACACAACTTAGCGAGACTGATGAGGATATGGGACATAAATACAGCTTAAAAATCACTGACATCTGAACAACAGAATGTGTCTGCATGTACGGTAATTAAATCAGAAATGGCGCATTAAATCCATGTTACTCGGAGTGGTTGAAAACGGAGCCAAAGCTAGCATTAGCAAGATAACCCACGTAGTGTTAAACCATCTGCTAACAGCACATTTTATACTTTAAAACGTGTTTAACTGCAAGTCATTTTACAAACAACGTGATAATTCACTTACCGCGAGGAATAGGATGAAATAATGGTACAAACACAAATGAATTAAGCCCTGCAGAGCAGCGTCAACTGAAGACGTCATGATTTTGACATGCACAATGAGGGGAAGAGGGGGAATTGAATTTACCGTAACACCGGCACAGCCTGCCTTAGTTTCGTGTAGCTTAGTGACATCAATTTGTTGCACAGTAGCTTTAGCTCGCATGTAGCAATATTAGTACTATAGCTCTTTACGACCTCGTAATTCGGAGGATCCAGTGGTATTTGGGAGAAAAATGTACACAGGACAAAACGTATCAGGTTCTGAACCTTTCTATTTAACATGGTGCAATAGAGGCGATTTTTCGAAAACCCTATTCATTCTGGCCATAGAGAAATAGGGCTTAGACCCGGCGTTCCTAATATGGGCATAACGAGGACTACAGAATGACGCACGACTACAGTGGTCTATGGACCATTTTTTTTTACAGCAATGGCAGATCGTGGAGCCTCTCAATAGTTCCTGGATGTTAGCAGCAAATACTAGCAGCATAGAAGAGCTCCAGCAGAATAGACCGTTCGTGATGCACTTTTAAAGGGTAAGACATTTAAAGAATCATTTTATATATTATCAGCACATCTGAATCAAATTACCATGTACATTAAAGCATGTCAGTGGATTATCCTCATATAAATTAGTAGACTTAGGGAACGTTAACAGCTAACAGATTAGGCTAGGATACTGAATAAAGTTAGCAACACATTGACGACAAACAGCCTATTAATTGTTAATTCCCTTTTCTTAATGCCATTTCCTTCAACGTTGTGGAATTATAGAAAAAGGCTTCTAAACATGATTTTTTGCGGGGTGGGGTTGGGGAAGTTAAATATTAGTTAAATATGCGTAACTGTAAAGTGATGAGTAAAAGGAGAAGGTGAGAGGATATCCTTTTGAAGTATGAGCTAACATCCCACAATAATAAGAAAGAGAGCATTTTTGTGATATATCGCTGTTGTTATACCTGGCTGCTGGATGTTGGCTGGGTGCTGGTAGGTGGAGGAGCAGTGATGTTGGCTGGGTGCTGGTAGGTGGAGGAGCAGTGATGTTGGCTGGGTGCTGTTAGGTGGAGGAGCAGCGATGTTGGTTGTGTGCAGATAGATGGAGGAGCAGTGATGTTGGCTGTGTGCTGGTAGGTGGAGGAGCAGTGATGTTGGCTGGGTGCTGGTCGGTGGAGGAGCAGTGATGTTGGCTGGGTGCTGGTAGGTGGAGAAGTGTTGTTGTTTGGGAGATGCTGGATGTTGAAGCTTGGCTACCGCTGTTTCTTTTCACCTTTTTGGATTGGCTCTTGCTTCCTTTTAAGTTTTGTTTTTTTCGTTCATTTTGTATTGTTGTTGCCTCAATTCTCAACCTTAGCCGTATGAATCTTCTAATGATTTTTTCTTGTACTCCACAGCAAGACGGAAGCCTGCTGGAGCGTGCCTGAGCTTCTTTCTCCAAGACACTCACTGTGTTGGGGAGCTCCATGAGGGAGGAATCAGTCTTGGTCCTAAAGAGTTCCTCAATTTGGTTAATGAAGTCATATGTTCTTGGGAGAGATGACAAAGAGCGCCTGCCTTGAACTCTTTTAAGTTCACTAAGATGCTGTTTTCTCCAGCTGGACTGTCATCATTGTGCTGTGTTTCAATTTTGCATTTTTCACAGATGCTGGCAAACTTGATGACTTTGTGGACGATGTTAGCCTGCAAGATGGAAGAGAACACATTTCTCTGTTTTTGTGAGGTCAGGTGCAGCACTGTTCACTGCCATCAGCTGTTCCACTCTGACTGACAGAGTGATCTTTTGCTCCACTGTATCCAAGAAGTCTGCCAGAAAGCTGCTGTCATCTTCCTGGTAGCTCCCAGACCTGATGGTGGTGAGGAACTGCCCCACAGATATGATTCACAGTGTATGATGGAATTCCACTGGAGTTGGGACAGGATTTTTAGACCTCATACAGCTGAATGTATTTTCAAGGCAGTCTTGTGTGAACCTTGATGTTAACACAAACCTGTGTCCTCGTGTCAGCATCTCCTCCTGTATGGCCAAAATTGATATTTTTGCCATTATTATTCCAGTCTGAACAGGCTTCCAGCCTCCCTTTTGACCAATCTTTATCCCATGGAACAGATGGACGATGTCTTGGAGGAAGGTGATGACCTTTTGGTACTCCTCCATCTTGAGCCTGCTCAGGGCTGTAAATTGGATGGTGAGATGACATAAGATCAAACCAATGATCAGCTTGCTCTAGGAGCCATGCCGTAGTCATGTAGGACAGAGGGTGGTTTTCTTGTTGCACCATGTATTTCAGCCCAGTACTTGTTGCTTTACTGAATACTTTTAGAGCAGGACCAACCTTCATCTTCTCAAAGTGACTTGGTTCGATGGCTGCAGCTGATAGATGGGGAGCTATTTTTAATGCCATCCCTTAATTTATTTTTAATGCCAGTCCTTAATAGGAACCACTGAAACCTCGTTAGAAAGGAGCTTCTTTTTGTTTACAATGTCCTCAGGAATTCTGAACACCTGTCCACGGACAAGGGCACTTTTTAGATTTTTTTACCAGATGTGGGACATCAGGCATGAAATAGAGCTGCCTGTCTGGTGTCGTCGGATGTGGTACTGAGGTTTTTTTGTGGTTGACTCCAAAGGATTTCCACATGGCCTGGTTAGGGCTACCCATGTCGGTGGTGACATTAAGCACATATAGCTCTGTGGATGCTGTCCTCTGTATTATTTCAATTATTATTGGCCTGTACTCTGCTCTATTGGTAGAATTGCCATTGTAATGATATGCCAATACTTGCTTCCACCGTGTTGTGCTTCCCACCAACATAAACACACAAGCATGTGTTGCTACTCCTTACCAGGTCACATCACCATACAGTTTGCCAGTAAGCATGTGCAACTCCACACTTGGTGTGATGGCCATTTCATCCAAGGTCAACACACACTTGTTTTCAAGCTCTGTCAATCCATCTACCTTCAGTTTTAGGAAATCAAAGACCTCTGTCAACACACCAGGATCGAATTTAACACACTGCATCCTTCTTTGTGGGGCTCTTATTCCTGGCAGGGGAATCTGCAATTCCTGCAGCGTCTTGTAACCTGTTGGACTGGCAGCAAAGCAAATTTTTAGTGCCTTCTTAATTGTGTCATTGCTCCATTTCATCCATTTTGTGTTTAGTCTGCTTAATGCCTTAATTTGGTCTTTTGAAAAAGTTTTCTTTAATATTTTTGTCCCTAATTTTCATTGCATTCTTGAGAGTGGCATTTTCCTTCCTTAGTTTTCTAAGTGCTGCCTTTGCTTTATTTGGTGACTTTCTCTTGTCTCTTTAATTTTTTTTCAATAGTTCCAATTGACTGGCTGCTGGCTTACTGGGTGGTATTATCTCTCCCTGTCTCTCCTCACTAGCCATGTCTTCTCTTTCTTCACTATCACTTTCCCTTTCCTCAGTCTCCTCACCCTTCTTTCCTCAATCTTTGAAACTGATGTATGTAGAAGACATGTCACTTTAAATTTTAAAATATTCAAAATAGTCACTACTTTAAAATTAGAAATATTGTTATCATTAAGAGTTCATATACCTGTGTCACCCACTTGTAACACTATATCTGTGATCAGCAGCTATAGGCTCTATATTTACAGGTCCAGTGGTGCATCGTGGTATAGGAGCCCTCCTCTTTTTCACCATGGGGCGATGCACAAAGATGGTGGGAATAGCATCTGCTCTCAGGCTAATCTTGCCCTTTTGGGTCTTGTCAAAAGGTCTGCCTCAAAATGAGCCTGCAGAATTATGTGAGTTTACTTCCCACACACAACTACTCACATACACATCAGTAACTAATGCCACTTGTCATACTTTGTTAAACATCAGCAGCAAAAGCTGTTGATGATCACAACTAGCCAACTAGCAAGTAGAAAAAAGCATTTCCAGAAGAATTGTTAAACCAAACAATGTGTTGCCTTTGAAGCTAGTGTTAGCGCCACTAAGATGAGTGAGTTTGTAGCCGGCCAACATGGGAACCCCTGAATACATGGGTGTATTTTGTACACACGGGGTGTCTAACCCTTTCTCCTCTTTTTCTCTCTCTCTCACTCTCTGTTCAGCACAAGAACCACAGGTGCATTCAGTGGAGCCTAAAGACTGCCTGCAATGAGACAGCACCCTCACCCTGTACCAATTCCCATTCCCTAGGTTTTGCAATTCTTTCACTGTTGCTTATTTTTAATAAACCAAACATTAAGTCTTCCAATGATGTGGTCTTCATTTGTGAAAAGTGCAAATGCAGTGTTTAAATATGACTACCTCACATTTTTTTTTTTTTTTGATGTTGTAATCTTTAGTAATGGTATGATTACTCCTGCTGACTTGAGCCAACCATTTTTTTCTCCTTTCCATGTCAGTAGGCAAATTGTACTCTGAGCGATTGGAGCATCCCCATGCAGCACTGCAAACCATGGTGGAGACTATATGCAAGGACAGCACAGACAAACTGCTTAACATGTTATTCATGTCTGATTTATTAGAGATTTATTTAATGAATTCATTGCAGTAAATAAGTGCATAGTAAAAAAGACAAGATACACAAAATATATGTTTATATGTGTACAAACATATATTTATATATGTTTTGTGTTATGTTTTAATGTACCCTTTTAATGGCAGATTTCTGCACATGCAAGCCAAAGAGAATTTTTTTTGGCTCCTCACTTCTGTCCTTTCAGAAAGTCACAAAGTTTATATTAGCCATTAAGATTATTTTTGTTATCATGGGATTACTGAAAGCAACACAAATAAAGGATATGTTAATATTAGAAAATTAATCAGATCTGAATTTTAAAACATTCTTTCTCATTAGGATATGATTGCTCTTGACTACCATACAAGTTTAAGAAAACAATAATTCTAATGTTAAAAAAGAATTCAAAGCAATAAACAACAGCAACACGCTATGTAATCATAGTAACATTAGCCTAAAATATGCCAACAAGGCAAGTAACACTAATCCTCAAATAATAACAAATTTTACTTTAAAAAAAGCATATTGAAGTAACTGCATAAACATGTAAGTGTGCTATATCAATATTGTAAATCAATGCATTTATTGACTACAAATTACCAAAAATCGCAGTTCTGTCTCTCTGTGTTTACACGTTCAAACTACCGGCCAAGAACTTCCTGGAACTATCTGAAGTCTAACCATGCACGTAACCATTAAAGCGTTTTGAACTTCCGTTGACGCGACTCTCTCTCTACACGGCTCTGGTTCAAACCAAACAGCGCAGTGCGTTATGGGTATCACCTATCCACTAGGGTGCATTGTACACTAGCTACATATTGGTGTGTATTGTAGGATTGTTAAAGTGCACTGAATCTTCTGCACTATGTTTTCAGACACTGCTTCAAAATGTGCACTAGATAGTGAATAGGGCAGAGTTTTGGACTCTGCTACGGTTTTAGGGAGGGTTGTTGCTACCCGATCTGTGTCCCCTGCCTGATTTGCATTACACATGCACACCAATGTCACGCATGCATAGAGAATATTACTTTTACTACCCAATCTGCACCGCACATGTGTAAGCATTTTAGGACAATACAAACTGTAATTGAGACATAACAAAATGCCAGTTCAGTAGTAATTACATGTGCGTTTTGCATTCTTCCCTGCTGGAATGCTTTCCTGCATATTTAGCCGTGATTTTTCTCTTTGTGCATGCTGCTACTCTTAGCTTGTATTTGCTTCATAGGTCATTGTAGAACAGCTTCTACACACATGAAATTTCAAAATAAAAGCCATTTATATTTGAACAAAGCTGCACAACATCTAACATTTAGTGCACTGTAAGGGAGTAAGGAGCCATTTAAGATTCAGCCACGGATGGGCTCTTATGCTAATGCAAAATGATAGTTACCGAGTAGGTCTGTTCCCCTCTTGTCATCATCACCTATGTGGGCAGCGTCTTCCTATACTTGAACAGTGATTGTTTTGTAGAGGGGCGTGCGTCTGCCATTGGTGTGTTATTCATTTGGCTTTTTCCATTTGAATAGAGAATAATGAAAAACATCTTCCTCTCAGAAAATAAAAGTTTTGGCATTTTTACATGTTCAAGTTTACTTTTGAACCTTTTGTTGGACCAAATTACAGTTAGATTTAGTCTCCTCCTCTCCCCATATGCTACTGCAACTCATTGTGTTTCTCTCCAGGTTCTTTTTCTTCTTCTTTTGTTTAACGGGTTACAATAGCCTGCCCCAACTTTCTGTGATTGGTCCGAAAGTTCAGATGGTCCAAAAGTGTTTTCCAGTTGCAAATGAACCGAACCATGGTTCAGTTTGATCTGTTGAACCAGTTGAAAAGTTGCAATATCTGGACCAAACAAGGTAGGTGTGAAAGCACCCTGAGATAGCTAAGCATTTTTGTTCATAAGAGGACATTTTGGAAGCTAGTAAAAGACATTACATTTCATAGAAGATTACAAGAATTTTTTTACATTTTATGATATTGTAAAGTCCTGCTACTGGCTCAGACAGTAGAGGTTTTTATAGCATGGCCATGCCGAGGGCCATATAAAGAAGCTCATGACACTTGCGTGGGATATTTAATGTGTTAACATTGATGTTTGTTAGTTTAAATAATGTGTTATTTGTGTTATTCTGCTTCAGGGGGTGTGTGCATTTTGTGTTGGGGTTTGGTCACCACAGAGTGGAAGGCTAGGGCTGGTAGTGGTTACCCCCGTGGGTATAGTGCTTTGTATGTGCCTTTCTGATAGTAGTTTAATAAAAGGGCACTTCCCGTACCAGAATCATGGCCTCCCCTGTGTCTTGCTCTATGTCTACACCACAATTTGAATCATGCCTATTATGACCTGAGACATTGAAAAAGGTAAACAAAGGTCAATTTTGATTTCAGGTTGTCTATTAAGAAATTTAACCTGACACTTACTATATTTTGGATTTATTGGAAGAACCAGAGCAAAACTGTATTTCCCAGCAGTATTCTTTTGAGATGAGGTGTCCTTATTCCGTCTCAACAACTGGGGATTTGTAGGTTTTCAGTGGCCATTTAGTTAACATTTAAAATCAATTTTCATTTTTTAAATGGTTTGAGTTGGAGTGTCTGCATTCATTCCAGAAATCTGGGGATGGGACTTTTAATTTGACAAAATAAGATTTTTTTTTGTTCTTCCAAGTGTTGCTAAAATCGCGATGCTGACTTTCCTAATGTCTTTAAGATTTTGATGGGATAGTGCTAATATTGACCCCCTAATGTTAGCTATCTTATTACATAGAAGATAAAACAAGACAGTGTTTTCGTCATATCAAACTCATTACAGATGCCAGGGGCCTACAGTTCTGAGTCTGTCGAAAACAGGTAAGATAAACTGAATTCTTACGGTTCCACACTTGACAAATAAGGTACCAGCTTGCACTTTTGTTACTGTGTATGTAACGCTTGCTAGTGTGTCTGAAAAGTAAAACTTATAAGAAACTAGCTAGCTAACTAGCTAGCTTTACTGTCCCCATATTACAAGTGATAGGTAGGTTAGCTAACTAATTGAGCTAGCTACCTTTCAGCTAGCAAAAAGCTATTTTGCCAGATGCTGCCCGCAAGCTGTTGAGAAAGTGCAAAGATTGTCCACTTTGCAGGGAATTAAATGAGCTGTTTCAGTTTCAATATTAATGTTAGATGTTTTGGTAGTACGTTTGTCAGCTTAGTTGTGTCGTGAACTGCATGTCAGCAAGCAAGCAAGCAAGTAAGCTAGCTAAGTTTATAACCGATAGGTTACGTAATGCCTTAAGATTTATTTTGGGATTTAACTACTGTCGTTAGCTGTTTTACCGCAGATTGGCAATATCAGACATTAGTGAAGGCTGAGGTTTTAGCGATTTGGCTGGCGTTCATCATGTCTCTGTAGCTAGCAACGTTATGTCAGCTTTTGTTTACATGTTTTACAGGTTCATATAATTATTTGGCTGCTTTCTTTGTCAAGACTTGAAGTCCCTGCTAGAAAAACCAATAGAAACCATGAAGTGTTACTGTTTGTTCCCGATTGTTTTGTAGCGTGCTGTCTTTTTTGATCACAGTGTAAAGGATCTTAATGGTGTAACAGGTGACTTGTTGCTTATTGTATATGCGTTTGATGGTTTTCTAATAGGATCTGAAGGTGTTCTACAGGAAACTAGTGGTCTTTATTGGAAACCATTAGGCCAGTTCCCATAAAAAAATCAGTCAGTTAGAAAGCAAAACTATTAGGTTTTAATCCAAATGTTTTCCAATGGTCCTTTTTCAGCAGGGGTGATTTTATTACTCCCATGCCATAAGCTTACTGATCTGATGAGAATAGGTCTGCTTATACCATAATAAAGGGCTATGTTGTTCTGGTCCTGTAGGACAGTTGTCTAGCACAGCTTGGTGATTTCCCTGTTCAAGTGCACCTTTTGGACCAGTCTGTTTAATAGGTTTGTTTGGTGTAGCAAATTACAACTGTTCAGGGCACTGGCCTTCCAGAACTGGAATTTTACACACCTGGATATTGTGACATGAGGGGCTTATCACTTATTCCAACTAACACAGTCTCCAATTCAAGTGACTATTTTCTATTTTGTGTATTACCACTGTCTGCTGGACAGTTTGATGGTGGTGCATCTCAGCAGTCTGTCGATCAGTAATTTTATGGTAACCTTTTCAGTAGTTTTTTTGTTGTGTGTTTCATTCTCTTATAGAAACAATTTCTTCAGACAGTTGAGATGTACAGTTTTATGTCAGTGTAGATGCCGAAAGGGACTGAGGGGACACTGGGGGGAGAGTTAATAGCTTGTGTTTCTTGGGTGAATATCTCACCACCCTGGACATGATGGGCCCTCGGCGGAAATCCACCAAGATACGAAGTGCTGGAGGAGGAATGAGGGCTTGCAGCATTTTGCAGGAGGTGGAGCCCAAAGATTACATGAATGAACTTTCACATGAGGTGCTCTGCCATATATTCCGGTTAGTACTTTATACATATTACAGTGCTTGTACTTATGTTGACTTCAATGGCATTTCTCTAATTAGATTCAATACATCATTATTTTTTCGTCAAACCTTGAGTTTGAGTGGTGTTAAAAGGTGAGAAGAATCCAATTATAGTCAAACCTTTGAAATAAAACTGTAAATTCCTCATGTATAAATGCCATGGAGTGTTTTCTGATTTTACTGGAATTCCAAGTTGAGTCAAACAAGTTTTTTTCTTTGAGAAAAGTACATACTGAGTAGAACTAATTATGTAAGTTGTCTTTTTTTTTGTAGATATCTGCCAATGCAGGACATTATGTGTATGGAGTGTTTGTCACGGAAGCTCCAGGAAGCAGTTACTCTGTACTTGCGGGTGGTCAAAGTGGTGGACCTATGTGCCAGTCGGTGGTGGGAGTACATGCCTTCAGGTTGGCAGAGCCACATATGTATTATTCATTTAATAAGTCTCAAAGGCTCATAAGACATACTGCACTCTTAACAGTATTCTTAAAACATTCCATCTAGTTAATGACATCTTTAGCAGTGCAAAAAGCTTGTAATAATTCTAACACATTCTGAAATATGCTTCTGACAAAGGATTTACAGATTCAAGTTTTCTCACACTCTTGAAGAAGATGCCTGATTTGGAGCAGTTGTATGGCTTGCACCCACGTTACTTAGAACGCAGAAGAGTCAGAGGATATGAGGCATTCAGTATTCCTGGTGTTGTAGAAGCTCTTCAGACATGTCCTAATCTTTTGGTGAGGGCTGCACATGTAAACTTATGAACTTTGCTCTAATCAGTAGCAAGCCTTACTTTACTTTTAGATTGTAGCGTATCACGTATTTCATTTTTATCAATCAGATTTACCTTTGATTTTCTTGTTTTTTTAATTCTAACATTGTTTTATTCAATCTTTTTTATTGTTCAAAGGGGGTGGAGACATCTCATTTGGAACTGGTGGAAGCAATATGGAACTACATGCCTCAGGTCCACATCCTTGGGAAGTTCAGGAACCGCAATGGGGCCTTTCCTATTCCACCAGAGAACAAACTCACTATTCCATTTGCAGCTAAAATCCAGACCCTCCATCTTGTTGGTAAGTTTAAAGCTGTTGTTAAGTTTAAAGCTGTTGCCATATGTGTAGTTCATGTTTTGATGGTTTGTCATTACTGGCTTACTAAATGTGGCATTTGTATAAACGTTTAAAATTCTTCGTCCCTCAGGAGTTAATGTTCCAGAAATTCCTTGTTTGTCCATGCTCAAACACTTGTACATGAAGTGGGTGCGTCTTACAAAGCCTCAGCCCTTCAAAGACTTTTTGTGTGTGAGCCTGCGTTCGTTCGTCATGAGGAACTGTGCTGGTCCTACCAACTCCTTGAAGTATGTGCCATTAGTGACAGGCTTGGCTTCTGCCCGCAATTTGGAGCAGCTAGAACTAGTGAGGGTCCCTTTCTTGGGGGGACTGATACAACATGTGGTGGAAGACAGCTGGAGGTCAGGTGAGTACTCCCACTAAATCTTCTTTCTGTCTGTGCTGCTCAAAACAGTGAAAGCTATTTTTCTTAAGGTAATCCTGAAACACAAAGTAGAAATATGATGGATATTCAGTAGTGTAAAGTCAGAGACCACCTTTCATTTATTTAATTTCTAGTTAATACGGCCATTCAGTTATTCATTTTTCCACATCAGGAAAAAAGCAGAAAACATATTTAACAGAAAATTTATACAGAAGCCTCAACAGCTAAACATTCAGTTCTCTGTATGTCCGCCTTATTCCTTTATCACAGCTGCCATTCTTTTTTGGAAGGCTTTCTTGATAATTATTATTCTATTTATAGAGCAATTTTGATACCTGCGGCCACAAACAGACGTGCAAGCTGTTTTAACTAGATATATCTTACAAATTGGTTGCATTTTCTGCGTCTCATGATCTAAGTAATCCCAAACACACATCAGAGCACCAGCAACTTCATTTTTGAATTGCCAATTTTATTTCTGAAGGTCGGCACCCTTTTGTCGCATTTCATTAGTGTATTCATTCTTCCCTGTGTTAGTGAATGACTGTGTCATGCCATGAGCTTTATTTATATAGCACACAGGCAACAGGAGTCCAGGCATATGCTAGCCTAAATAAGTATGTTTTTAATCTGATTGTGCCATTTATTATGGAGCTGACTGTAAATTCCTTTTGGGAGTTTATGATATATGCTATATAGACAAAAGTATTGACAACCTACATGTTATACACCTACAGGAGCTTTTATGACATCACAGTCTAAATCCATAGGCATTAATATGGAGTTAGTCCCCCACTTTGCAGCTATAACGGCTTCCACTCTTCTGGGAAGCTTTCTACAAGTTTTTGATGTGTATCTGTGGGAATTTTTGCCCATTCTTCCAGAATAGCAATGAGGTCAGACACTGATGTTGGACAAGTGGGCCTGGCTTGCAATCTCCGTTCTAGTTCACCCCAAAGGTGTTCGATGAGGTTGTGGTTTAGGGCATCTGTGTGCCAGAGGCAATTTGGAACTTGTTAATGAGTGATTCAATAAAGGATAAGCACTGTGTGCTTTGGCACTCTGCGACTGTGAGTTTGCGTGGTCTGCCACTTCGTGGTTAAGCTGTTGTTGCTTCTAGGTGCTTTCATTTCATTATAATAGCACTTACAGTCGTCCGGGCAGATCTAGCAGGTCAGAATTTTTACAAACTGACTTGTGGCAGAGGTGGTATCCTATGACAATGCCATGTTTAAAGTCACTGAGCTCTTCAGTACAACCAATTCTACACTATGTATCTGAAGTTGAAATATTTGCCATATGCAAAAATGAAAAGCACATGTCAGACTTCAGTCCTCATGGACCATTGCACTGCACTACTTCAGCATTGTGCTTCATTGAACACACCATATTTAACTCATCAGCTAAATGACAAGGCATTCATGAATTGAATTCAAAGCATGAGATGCTTCCTTTGTAAGTTGCTCTTGTTAAAAGTATTGTTAAATAGTAGTGTTAAATATGCAAGAATAAATCATGTTTTAAATGTTTGTCTACTTAACAAATACTAGCATCTGAAAAAGCTTTCATTGTTTTGTGTACAGTTTTGTTTTGCTTCGATAAAGATTGAAGTGACATTGATAAAGGACTCCAGACTGTGAATAAAATGGTCACAACTGTGACCACAATTATTAATTTACAAGTAATAAAGTTAATTAATTCACCAGTGGCGACAGGTAGCAACTTTGGATTGTTATTTTTTATGGGTAACTATTTATTTCTATTGTTCTGTATTTATTACTTTTTTGTTTTCATGCATTTTCTTTTACCATTTTTCATCTTAAAACATAACTGATAGGCTTGAAAGGTGAAAGACGCACACAAAGATGTACCTGAACAACCATCCACTTCAAGCACTTCATGCAGAAGTACAACCACAGAAAGACATTTCAGAATATTTCAGGTGTGATAACATAAAGCAGACTCTGTTGTGAATTCTGTTTGAAAGCAAGCAACGATATAATTGGAAAAATGGATTTCTTAACAGGAACTAATCATTTAGAGTGAAAAAACATGGCAAGAGTCCAATGCATAAAAACGCACACAATTTCATCATCGCAAAGAGTGCTCCTAAGGAAACTCCCTTAGCTCATGTAGTGTCTCATGCAAGTGAAAACACAACTGAGAAAGAATTTAAGGAGCTTAAAATTGAATTCAACACAGCCTACATGGTAGCATGTGAAGAACTATCCTTAACCAAATTCATTTCCCAAATCATGTTTTTCTGTACAATTCAGCGTTAGAGATATATAAACAGTCATTGTTTTAATGTGAAATGGTTAATTTGCCGAGAACTTTTAGAATCAGAAATAAAGCTTTATTGGCCAGGTATGCTTGCACATACAAGGAATTTGGAGCTCACAGTGCACAGTATCTGACAAACATTTACATGTAGTAAATAAAATAAAATTAAAATAAAATAGCAAAATAAAACAAGTAGTCACTCATTCTCACACACACACACACATACACACACACACACACACAGAGTCATACCTGTAACCTTACAATGTGCAAAGTATGAGTCTTAAGTTAAAGTGCTGAGTGCAGCAGCAGTTAAAGGGTGTATAGTGGCAAAGAAAGGGATCAGTGAGGTAACAGTCTGATAAGTGGGGTAATGAGGCAGGTAAGTGAGGTGCCAGAAGAAACACTGGTTTGTGGCGGTGGTTTCAGAGGATGTACTGTTGAGTGTGATAATATATACCAGTATATTTAGAAGTGCAGTTTAGAAGCTGGAATATTTTAATGTGTAATATTTTAACTGTTCAAGAGAGTAATGGCTTGTGGGAAGAAGCTTCTCTGTAGCCTGGATGTCCTGATCCTCATCTGGCTGAAGCGCCGACCTGAGGGAAGGAGCTGGAACAGGTGGTGTCCGGGGTGTGACGAGTCAGTAGAGATTTTCTCTGCAGTTCCAGCAGTGTGGGCAACTTAACCCCAGTTGTCCTCTCTGCAGATCTGATGATGCGCTGCAGTCTGTGGAGGTCATGCTTGGTGGCTGAGCTACCCCACACTGTAATGGACGTGGTGATGACGGACTCTATGATGGCTGTGTAGAACCGCACCATCAGCTCCTGGGGCAGGTTGAACTTACTCAGCTGATGCAGGAAGTACATTCTCTGCTGGGCTCTCTTGATGATGGAGCTGATGTTGCTGTCCCACTTCAGGTCCCTGGTGATTGTTGTGCCCAGGAACTTGCAGGACTCCACCGCCATCACAGTTGGTGGCTGGTGAGTGCTGGCAGGGTTGGTGGGCTCCTCCTGAAGTCCACTGTCATCTCCACTGTTTTCTTTGTATTCAGCACCAGGTTGTGGCTGCTCCAAAGGACCACCTGATCAACTGCCTGTCTGAAAGCAGACTTGTCACCGTCTCGGATGAGACCAATGACTGTAGTGTCATCTGCGTACTTCAAGATTTTGACTGAGGGGTCAGTGAAGGTACAGTTTTCGTGTACCGTGAGAAGAGCAATAGCGAGAGTGCACAACCCTGTGGAGCACCAGACTGGTGTCTTTACAGTGATGGTAACAGAAACCAGGACTCCTGATGTCCACAGTGCAAATGTAGCCATTTTATTTACTATCCAAAACCACCAGTGAACTTACACATGTCTTCTGAGGTTTTGTGTAACAGGCAGTGTATTCATAACCATTTCACATAATATTTTTTGGGAGGAAGCTTTTAGAGACATTTAACTCCTCAGATGTCTGGTTTCTATCATCATCACTGTGAACAATTCTGACTCTGTACGTCTCTCGAGAACAAAGCGTTTCATACCAAACCACTCTGCATGATGCTGACACTTAATTATGCAGAAGTTTTGAAAAGTTGGTGGAGTTCCCTTTTAAATCACAGAGCTGACCTTAGGTGTGTTGAAAAGCTTTATTTTTCTCTGGAGCCCTGTACACCTAGATAGATAAAACAAAGATTTCTTTCAGAGGAACTATTTGAGTTAAAAGTAATAAATTATATGTTGCAGTATGTATTAACATACTTAGCATATCACAAACCTTTAAATATTGCAATAGAATTTTGGGCTCTGCAGCAGTTCCCACCTCTACAGGGTACCTCAGTTTGTCTAGTTTTCGAGTGGAAGGGTTAAAAAAAATCTTTGACCTTCCTTTGTGCTGCTTAGTAGAGATAGAAAGAGTAAAGATAATATTTTTCTTTACAGTCTGTGTTGTTGGATATAACACTGATAAAACTTTCAAAACTCCAAAGTGATCCTCTGGTTTGAAATGTTAGTCAGCTTTAATGTCATCTTTTCATTTCAAATGTGTTGAGAAAGGAATGGAATGTAGTTTCTGTAGGTGCTGTACAACATAGCACCAGATGACTGTGCAGGCACGATAAATACAAACTATGCAAACGCAATGCGGTTAACTATTTGGTACATTATACAAGAACTGTACAACTATTTAGTACAGCACAGTAGAGTAGTTATTGTCAGTATACTGTTAATAAGTAGCTTTAGTCTTTAATAGCTCAACCGCAAAGTTGAATAAATCTTTACAAATTAAAGTGACTGATCAGATAGTCATGTGAAGCAGTAAGTACACCCTATGAAAAACAATTTGACTTAGCAGTCATTTATTTTTAAAAAATTGACTGTTATTTTTGTCAGTTGAAAAAGTAAGTACACCTCTAGTAAACAGAAACCAGTTTATGTAGGCGTTTCCTATAACTGCCTACCGGTCTCTGACATCTATTGAGAGAAATCTTTGCCCATTCAGAAGGGGGTTTCTTGCATGTACAGCTCATTTCAAACCCCTTCATCTTCCATACAGATGGTCTCAGTCTTTTCATGCGTTCTCTGGTTTGAATCAGAATTTATAGTTGATTCTATGATTGCAAGTTGACCAGGCCTGGTTATAAATCTTCTCCACTTGTCGATGATCTTCTTAGCAGTGGAATGATTGTTACATACACACATATATATATATATATAT